AAAAAAATGGAAATCAGAGTGGCTCTGGGAAGGAGCAGCTCCTGTCTGGGAGCGGAGGGATGAGGGAGATGTCCGGAGTTATTTGTGGTCCCAGAGGGGTCAGTGCTGGGAGCTCTGCTGGTTTTAATCGAGATTAATGGCCCAGGCAGGAGAATCAGCTTAAATCCATGGAAAAGGGGTGAACAGGGAGGAGAGAGAAGAATAAAACTCKGAGGCAGCAGTGTTTGCTTTGCAAACACCCCGACAAAGCTTCGCCCTTATCAGCTTAAAGGAACGCACCRAGGGGCTGGAAATATCCCAAATGGGAAGGAGGGGCAGAAAGGAAGGAGCAGGGGCTGAGCTGGGGAGTTCTGAGCAATCCTGGGAGCTGGAGGAGCTCTGTGCCTGGGACAACACGGGAGAAAACCTTGGATACATAGGGAGAAGTCCCTGGGTCCCTCTCCCTAAGTTTTACTGAATGCTGTGAGCTACAGAGGCAGAATTGGGGAAAAAACCCACAAAAAACACAGGCAGCAACTCCCCCTCCAAGTGACTCCACAGCCTCAAATGCATTTATATCAGAGGTGAGCTGAGGCTGCGTTTGGAAAACCAGAAAATGAGAAATATCTTCAATATTTAGTGAAATCTGTGCAATCTTAGCAGATGTCAGCTGTGCTTGTGATTCCCAGCTTAATGCAGATATCAGGACATGAGGCCTCCGAGGGCCWTTTTATCACTGAATTCTGAAATACAAAATCCTGAATTTTAGATTTGTTGCAGAAAAAATAGTGGAAAGAAACATGCTGAATTTCACCATAAGGCACAGGATCCTGAGTGTTTTGAAATCCCTTGGTTTTTAGGAAGTGCATTAGCAGGTATTTCTCACTCTTCARAAAACATGCTGCACCTTCCCTTTGTAAAAAGAATCTGCCTCCTTTTTTTGCCACGTGCTGTTAATTCCTACTTTATAAATAATTCAATAGACTCCTTAAAACACTTAAACAGTAAAACAAAACACTTAAGAAGTTTAAGTGACTTGATAACCACCCCCCAAAAGACTCCAAAAAACCCATCACTTATCAATGACTACCAGGAATCAAACCCAAAAGACCTTATTTTCTGGCCTGCTGTCTTTAAGAACAYTTTAATTAATATTTGGATTCATATTTGAATTATTGTATATAAAATATTTATGTATACTGACAGGATAAAAGAAAAAATTAAACCATTAAAAGCAAAGTTGCAAAGGGGAGAACAGTAAAACGCTGAGAAGTCAGYAACCTCCTTTTACCTGCCTGAAGTCAGCACTTAAAAACCAAGCTTTCAAAACAAGTCTGGCTGCCAAAGCTGCAAATCTCAGTTCTCTGAGAGGAAAAGCAAATCAATGATAATTAAAGCTCGTCTGTAAACGCAGCCCCAGCTCTCYGGAGTGCTGTTAGAATGCGACATTGTCCAGGAGTCAGACCTCTAAAAAAACCCACACAGGCTATTTTCTGGGAGAAGACCAGATCAAATAAATCTTTATTTTCCTAACCTTTGTTAAGTTGCAAGTCTCCTTTTTTGGAAGAAAACCCAACTAAYGATCTCGGAATAATCGGGAGTTTGGGGAACACGCAGGGCCCGTGCAGGCATCTCAAATAACACAACCCCAAACATCACAGCAGGGAACGGGTCCAAAATATATGTCTGCTTTTTAGGGGAGGGATTGGTGTATTTTTAATTTACCTAATGTCTACACTAAAAATTCTGGATGGAAAATAAATGCGATTCTCAGCGTAGCAGGGATTACAATGTGGGAGAGTCAATTCTTAGGTTAAACCGAGCATAAAAATGTGATGTATTTGACCACATGGCCTTTTGCTGCTCATAAATTCGTGTTTCTCTTTATTTAATAACTGCTCCCTTTGCTTTGTTGTGAACTTATGGCCGTGCATGAAACGCTGCAGTATCAGCTACCCAAAAACGAAACGGAATTGTTACCGTTGTTTGACAACCTGCAAAACACTCCCTCACATCGTGGCAAACACAATGCTCGGTTTGCAGCRAGCTCCTGATTCATCATTCCTTCAGCTTTGCTTATTTATGGACTTGTTCTAATGAAAAAAAGTGCATTTTTTTGCCCAAGTTTTTTTGAACTGGGAGAAAATGCCGGGGGGAAGGATTTCCGTGAGAAATGGTTATTTATATACCTAGGCGAGCATTTTATGTATATTTTCTTGTGGATTTTATTCAGATTTAAAGCCCTGGCTTGGATAGGAGCCACAGAAMCCACTGGGGATGGGATGCTGTCCCTGCTCTTGGGGTGGAGTCTGTCCCTGTGCTCACTGAAGCATCAAAATCGCATCATTTTGTCCACAACCAAACAGAAACAGAAAATCCTTCCACCTAAAACATGAAAATGTGAAACTCTCTGTGAATCCCCCACTCCCAACCCTCCTTTTAAACTTTCTTCAAGCTCAGCCACTACCAAAATTCAATTTTTATTTAAAGCAGGTAACTTGATAGGGTTTTCTCTGCCTTTGGGTTTTTTTTGTTTTTTTTTTTGATCCACTACTCCAAGCACCTCT